TACATACACGCATGCATGCATGCAGACAGACAGACAGACATAGATACGGGTACGCCGTGGACGCTCAAGAAGTGGACCCTGATCTTTCATTGAACCAAAAACTCAATGCACGGTAACTCACATCATTGCCTGTGTCTGTTGCTGTACAGTGTTCGCGCGAGATTCAGGCTCCACCCGAGGCACTGGCGCCGGCTGCAGTGCTGGCCCTACTGTGAGCGACAGCGTCTCCTTTCATGGAGTACGCATCTCCACGGGCAAAGGCAACTCTTCTTCCAGCTCTCCTTCCGCTACGCTCGAGTCACTTCGTGAAAGCCTCGGGACCAGAGATCAGGTCAGATCACCTCTGTTGGCCCTTGTCATCACAGATGCTGGATGCGCTGGTGCCGAGGTGGCTGCTCAAGCGCTGCATCTCTCACATCGGAGCTGGCCCTTGCGCTAATTTCTATAGCTTGTGCCCGAGAGTCTAATAAGAATGAAGCTTGCCAATACCAAGCTTTGCTTTTGCAAGCTGTCCTGGCATAGTACCGGTGTCCAGTACCTGGCGATGACATCAACCGCCATAACATTGAATCATTGAGACGAAAACGAAAGGCCCTGGCTGCCTTTCAGCACATCCTTACGCCGGCTGAGGAGCTTCTCAACTTGAGCCTAAGCGCACAGGTGAATGTTTGCCGTTTGCCTTTGATCCATCCAGCAATCAGAGATCGAAGCACTTAGTTGTGCGACATCCTCAATGATCGATCCAAGCCTGGGCTTTAAGGCCAGATCTGGTAGTTCAATTTCCCTCTACGAGCAAACTTCCCAAGATCCAAACAATCCGGACGGTGCCTCACCGGCGCCTCCAGAATTCCCCGGTGCCTTCTTGGCAACAAACAGACGTCCCTTCTTCTTCTTCAGTGCAACGCAACACACTCACACACAGACCGGCCTCTTGCTTGTCCGTCTGCGCGAAGGATCGTCTTGCTCGGAACACCGTCCCAGTCGCCTGCTCTGAGCTCTGAGAGCCTTCCAAGTCGGGCATCGCAGGAACAGCACCCCACGCCCGCTGGGGTCGTCCTGGTCTGAAGCTTCCATCTTGCTGCTAGCCCCTGGAAGTGTGCAGCATCGAGCACGTCCTTCCGAGCCGAGGCCGCATTGTGCTGGCTCGGTGGTTGCAGACACCTCGCAGAGTCGACAATTCGACGGTCGACATGGCGGTCTTTGGCGCGCTGCCAAGGTGCATCTGGTGCAACTGGGCTGCTGGACGTGAACCGCAGCCTTCAGCAGCTCACGACTCTCTCACGACTCTCGCCAGGTGAGGTCACTGCGTCAATATGCTGACCACGCCGTGAACACAGGAACAAGTGGGCCTCTCAGCAGACACAGTTCGGCGTGCCCTCGGTTGAAGCACTGAACATCAGCCCTCCATGAGGAGCCCTTCCCTCTGGCGCTGGGCAAGCCACGCTGCAGGATGTTCAGGCGCTGCCTCAGCCTTGGGTACGACTTTTCCATGACAGCCCTGAAGTCCTAGAGAGGCCTAGAGCTAAACCCGAAGCTTTGTTAAGTGCTAAGAGGCGAACTTGATGGCCATGGCTCCGGCTGAGGTCTGCCCGGTCTGCCCCTGCCATGCGACGAAAAGCCATGGGAAACAAATGCCAGGTGAAAGAAAACCGCTTTGCCTCGCAAGGACTCCCTCCTGGACCTTGACCTGGTCCCGGCGCACGACCTGGACCTCCCGTTTGGAGAAGACTTCTGTCATCTTCGGGGAAACGGGTGACAGTGTTGTTGAAAAGGCACGAGATGCGTGGCCTGGTGGCCACCTTGTCAAGTCTTTGCAACGGTACAGTATTGTTCCGATTCCTCGCTCTGCCCACCCTCCATCTCCTTCCGATACGAACCTACAGCATGAAGAGGGCACCAGCGGCACCAGCCGAAATTGACGGTGTTCTGAGGGCATTCGGTGCCGCTCTGCATGATGCAAGTACTCACCCTGCCGGGCAACCCCTGGTGGCGTTTGCTGCTTATACGAGGCCGCCCTGGGCACGGCAACATTCAACGAATCTGAATGTTTGTTCCCCAGCTGTAAGGCTGTAGCAAATAAAACTGATGCAGGTATGCAGAGAGACGTTTGATTGAAGATTCCCCCGAAACGTGGTGGCCCACATAAGATACGCCAAGTTCGTCAACCATGGCCCTCTGCATCACAGCACAAGATGTAAGATGGCGGCTGTCAATCGATTCTATCTTTGCCCTCCGGCACAGTCTGAACACCGGGCTTGTAAAGTCTCGAGCGTCTCTTCAGACGGCAGTCACGAATTTACCAGGAGCGCTCCGCTTAGTATCGCTGAGCTGGACCATCCCACTGCGGGCTTGCTCGGTAGAGGATTAGCCTTTGCCGCCCCTGTTTCGGCTGGGCATTTGCCCGAAATGCAGCCTCCCTTGTTTTCCTTCGAGACCTTTCGCCTGAATCGACCAAATCACACAGCACGCGGGTTGGAGGACCGAAGATCACATCGGACGGGGCATCCCCCTCTGCACTCGGCCTGTGCGCCGCTTTGCGGCATAACCAGAAATACCCCTGCGCGAAAACCGCAGCTCGGTGTGAGACCTGAGTGCTGAACCTGGGGTGCTTTGCGAGGCATTGACTAGAGCTGTTACATTACCAGCGCTCCCCAATATCTCCAGTTTCCCCTTCAAGCCGCCGGTGTCGAACCCAATTGAAGCCTCTGTGCGGTATTGCCTGCCTCCACCTCCCTCTCCATCTCTCTATGCAGGCGTTGCAGTCTCTCTACCCATCGTGTCACATCGTGTCACCACACCTCTCCGGTTTCTGCACAGGGCTTGTGACAAAGACCTGTTCGCAAGCTGCATACACCGCTTCATGAACGAGGTGCCACGAGCACGGCAGCATGCGCCTTGTTCGCAGGTGAAGTCGTCGTAGACAGTTTTGGACCACCTGATGCAGTTTTAGCTACTCCATGCCTCACGATGACACTCAAAAACACGAAAAAAGACGTTGCAAAGTGCTCCGAGCGCAATGCTGGCATCGGCTCTGCGATGGGACGGCCTGGCAGAGACAGCCCCCAGCATATCCAGAATCGAGCCTCATTCATGGGCATCCTCTCTCTCTGTCTCCCAGGCAAGGAGGGCAGGGTAGACACACACTGCAGGTTGATTCAGGTTTGATTTAGGCGAAGAACCAGTGCCGAAGCCTGTGTTTGCGAACGGCTGTGGGCAAGGATAAGTGGAGAATGCCAAACTGAGCTCGAAAAGCGAAAAGTCGAAAAGTGG